AAGTCCAAGAACGGACTTAGAAGCCAAAGTGACCGGTTCGCCAGAAAATAACCTTTTTGAGGTTATTTGTATTACTATGGGTTTTATGATGATAAAACCTTGTTAGTAACTTGTCTAAGGTATTCAAGGAACTTTCACGGAGTTGAAAGGGTCGTCGGAGTTGCCGCCGGAGTTCGTTGAAGTTCGCCGGAGTTTCGCCGGAGCTAAATCGGGAAGGCTAGAACTTCATAAGCTTCATTAAGGTGAGAAGACGGCTTTATGCTTTATAACTTCTGCGTGAGGCATGAGATTACCTAAAGTAATCAAGGATATGTTTTGTGGAATGATTAAAGATAACCAAGTGTTTGCTTATGCCATGATTATACATAAAACATAGTTGAAAAGCATGTTATGTAGGTTTGGTGATTAAAAATGTGATAACTTATTATGTGTGAGGTTCCAGGGATCTAAAATGGTATTTTTGGATCAAGGATGTCAAGAAGTATATGTGTATAAAATTTCACGTTAATCGGACTCCGTTTGGGTGGTCAAACGGGCGTTGACCGCCAAGTCAACTGTCATACCCGACCGGGTATTGACACATACCCGACCGGGTATTTGTTGAAAAATTGCTCCAGGAGGCTACTGCCTCCTATACCCGATCGAGTATGGGTAGATACTCGATCGAGTATACATTGAAAATTAGCTTTGTGGGCTACTGTCTCCTGTACTCGACCGGGTATGGGTTGATACTCGATCGAGTATTGGGTTATGCTCAAAACGGGCAGTTTTGAGCGGGTTAATGTGGGCCGTTCAGGTGGGACCCGCCCACGTTGGTTCCTAAGGATGGTTATATGACTATAGGGCTAGGTATTGTCCATAGTTAAAGGAACGAAAAGTTAGCCATATCCAGGTTAGGGTTTGGTAAGGATTAAGTTTGGGGTTGAGTATCCCCGGGACATTAAATGATCCTGAAACTCGGTTGGGGTTGAGCATCCCCGGGACTATAAATGATCCTGAAACTCGGTTGGGGTTGAGCATCTCCGGGACTGCAAATGATCCTGAAACTCGGTTGGGGTTGAGTATCCCCGGGACTGCAAATGATCCTGAAACTCGGTTGGGGTTGAGTATCCCCGGGACGGTAAATGATCCTGAAACTCGGTTGGGGTTGAGTATCCCCGGGATGCTAAATGCTCCCAAAACTCGGTAGGATATTATGAATGTAGAATGTAGCTTGTGAGCTAGGCATTCGGGAAAGGAGTGAGAAAGGCCAGGTAAGAACTTTATCTCTAAAAGACTCTTTGAATGAAATGACCTACGGGTCGAGTATTTTACAAATATATATATACAGTATGTATCATCGGATGGATGAGTCACACACACACACACACATATATATATATATATTATATATATATGTGTGTGTGTGTGTGTATCACCCTATTTTTGGGTCTCGTGTCTGAAACATTAGTTATTCTTCATATAGTCTGCTTGTCAGTAGTACTTCTATGGAGTACTGACCCCTCCGGGCCCCCCTCACATTTTTCAGGTTGAGGCTAGCGTCCTACTACCTGCACCTTTGCATAGGGTGATTGATCAAGAAGGAAGACGTGGTTCATGCTTCCATTCTTATTTCAAATTCATAAACTGCTCATGGATTTTCGAACAATGTTTTCTTTAAAACAGTTGGGGGTCTGTGTGCCCGTGTTTGCCACGTGTGGCTAAGTATTAAACATATTATTATTTCCGCATTTGTTGATTATGATATTGATTTTGATCGTATGTGTTTACTAATCGGTTTGGCAATAGAATCAATCGGACGCCTTGTACAATTCAATAGGGATGAACTGTTGTTGTTCTTATCAGATTGTACGGCGGTTGTCTACGTGGTCCGGATGCGGTCCGGGGCGTGACACCAGGAGCCCCCATACCCCGACCCAACCGAATTTTTGGGAGGATGTTAATCACGGTGACTCAGTCGGCCCAATGATGGTAGGCCTTTTTCCCGTGCGCACCAGAGCTCCAGTCTTATTTCAGGTTCTGTGACCTCCACACGGTCGCTGCGGGTTTCGAACCTTGGTCACTTGGTCCAAATTTCCCACCACTGAACCAACTGAGCTACCCGTGCGGGTAATATGTTCCCTTTTTCCCATTGTCCTTTATACGGCCGGTATAATGAATAGCCAAGTGAGCAAGTTAAAGGATGGATCGTTATAATAAGTTGTTTCCGTACGCCAAAGGGGCTTTTTGCCCTATTTTCAGGTTTGTTAAAGTTTTTTGCTCAAAATTTAAGTTTGTGGGCATAGATCCTCCTTGTTGACAACTTCATGGGTGTTTTTGCCCTTTTTCCCTAAAGAAAATTGCATAACATTCAATCAATTTCACGTCTCGACTCTGATACCAATTGATAGTCCCAATATTTGACAATCAAACAACCAGCAGATAAAGAATAAGCAGATAAAAAGATATCAAGATGAAACCAAATCTGGTATACCGTGATAATGGCCGCCGCTATCCCTCGAGAAGGAGAGCAACAGAAAACCTATCTCTCTATCTCGCCTCTACGCACTCTCAAGCCTCTCGATACTTTAGGGTTTCCATAAGTTAGCCTCCTTCTATAGGAGAAGTTGGCTAACTTATGGATTACAAAGAAGCTAACGGGCTGATACACATTTGTGGCCCGTATTACACATTTAATTAATAACAACACAAATACAAATATATTTAATTAGATTGGACACCATAAAATATTCCTAACACTTTATATCTCAAAATAAACTTAAAAGATTTCTTTTTATTTGTCCCAATATAAAAAAACTTTCTTCTGTGACAAAATATATGTGATTCATATTTTTTTTGTTTCGTCTGCACAACTTTGAACAATATAATTTATACCCTTTATTGCCTTGCCAAATCAAGATAAGAATAGTTATGGGGCTAAGAGAGTAAACATGCCCTAACAGTTTCCCCTTTTCATTATATAAAATCTCTCACTAACTTTTACTACCTTCACCCCGATGAGCTCTGTCAAGTGTAAAATAGGTGAAAAATAAAAATAATATAAACTGTGTGGTTAAGATTTGTGCAGAAAAGAGAGAAATATGCATAACCTTAAATTATAATGAGAGATTTGTGAGACAAGACAAGTGCAAAATTTTTTGGAACAATGAGACGGATGGAGTATAAAAGTAGTCTTATACTCATGTAAAATCTTGTCTGCGGTACATTGTAACTGAAAACTAAACCCATAGTATCCAAAGATGAAAGTCCTAAACTCTCAAAACGGAGAGAAGCGTCGTCTCTCAATCTTCAACGGCAGAAGCACAATCCGACCAACTTCGCCCGCCGGCTAACCGCCCAGGGGTGTCCTCAACATATATTTTAAAAGATTTTAATGAAGTTTAGAATTACATCCAAATACAGGTGTACTCAACTTAGATTTCTATAGAGTCTATTAAAATCCGGAATCCTTTAATGGATTTTGATTAGGGATGGCAACGGGGCGGTTCGGGGTCGGGTATACCATTACCCGTACTCGCCCCGTTTGATAATATTTTTCCCCGAAACCGCCCCATTACCCGTCGGGTATTTTTTCCCCGCGGGTAACGGTTTTCCCCGCGGGTAACCGTATATTAAAAGGTAATTTTTTTTTTCAAAATTAGTATAAATCCTAAAATGATGATTAACTACTTATAATTGATCACCTAAATTTAAAAAATCAAAATTAAATAGCACCACTTGTTTTATTAAAAGATAATTTTTTTTCTTCAAAATTAGTATGATGATTAACTACTTACAATTCACCACCTAAATTAAAAAAATCAAAATTAAATAGCACCGCAAATAAAGTTTTTTAAAACATAAAAAAAAATTACAAATCTTTTGAACCTAATATTCACAAATTATATATGTCTAGATTCAAAATTATGAATCTCTTACCACATCAACATCAAGAGATTAAGTCTTGTCTCGATAGTAAAATCTAAATATGAATCACAAAAACATTTAACTTCCAAAAATTCAATAATCATACCCCACCAGCATTCAGTATCTAAATTTAAGAACAGTAATACATACAAGTAACATAATGAAAATGAGAATTTTTTTCCCTGAAATATTATTAATAAAAAATATATGGACATAAATGTGACTATAAGTTATCATGGGTAGTATTTATAGTCACCACGATATAACACTTGAATAAAATTATAAACACTAAAGTTATTAGAGTCGCATTTTTGTCCACGACTTTTATTTTGATTATAGATTTGGAATTATTTCTAAAAAATGTACTTCTATTACTATGATTTAGGTATTCTAATTTAGAGCAACCAATTAAAATTAATCTAATCATCCAATACACCTCTACAAAATTATTAGCAATTACATAAATTAAAGCAATCTAGAGTAATGTTTCTCAATATTTGAACTTTAAACTCATATGTTAGCTATATGAAAGTTATTGGGTGAAAAAATAAGAGAGTCACAATGTGAAAATTGTGTAAAGAAAATCATGAAAATCAAATAATCAATATGTGAAGAAAATAAATCTTATAGAAGTTAACAAAGGAAGGATGATGAATGAAATTGAAAATTAAAAATCTAAAATAGTGAATTTTGAGCATCAACTCATCAGAATTGCAAAGGATAGCCGATTAGTTGAATATTTTCCAAAAAAATTGAGGGAATAAGTGTCATATACTAATGTACTACTATTCATATATACTTAATATATTAAATAATAAATACATAAACTATTAAAATATGTAAGTTAATTGTGCGGGTCGGGTAATGGTGCGGGTAACCGTATCCAAATTAAACGGGGCGGGTAACGGGGCGGGTAACGGGGCGGGTAGGTATAAACCCATAACCGCCCCATTACCCATTTACATAAATCGGGTATTCCCCGCCCCGTACCCGTTACCCGGTCAAAGCGGTTTTTCCCATTTTGACCGGTTCGGTTCGGTACGGGTATCCATCGGGTCGAGTTAAATTGCCATCCCTAATTTTGATAGAATCTGATGGACTTTTAGACCAAAAAATAGAACAACTCAATGCACCAATCTCACTACCACACCCTGTATTTCCAAATCCATTTAGAAAAAAACCCTGCCGCACACATACTCCATCCATCGCAACAGCTCAATCGACGCTACTGGGTATTCTCCTCCATCTTCCACCTTCTTCATCCTTCCAATTTTCACTCGGGTTGATTAATCATCAACCTTTCCCTGGTACATTCATTCTTTATCAATCTACAGAGAACATGAGAGTATAGATTACATAAAGCTGAATTGGTAGTTGTTGGATCCTCGGAAAAATTAACACATATTGCAGAAAATAATTCTATACATCTGTAAAGAGACCAAGTTCTTTGGAGCTGCGTATAGAAAACTAGCCGAAATAGATACGCTAAAACCATAAGAACAATAATATATCAAAGCATGAACTTTAGTCAAAGATTAAATCACTCAAACATTTAGTACATGCTGATAAACTTGTGGTGTTACTCAACCAATTTTCTTTTATACCCATAATAGGCTTACTCTCATTGGTGCTTATAATTTTGTATAAACATTATTCATATAATTTCCTCTGTCTCATTGTACACGCAATTGCTTGATAAACGGGTAAATGATTTCCATAGATTTGGGGTAAATATCTTTAGTTTTCTTTACAGACTTTTTTGTGTATAGTCAGTTTAAACTATTTGAAATGTCCACTTCTTTGAAATTACTGAAGCTTTATTGAACTATGATTATTGTGTAATAAAGATTGGATCTTTAATTTTCTGGGTTATGCGCTGCATACAATTGCAGCAATGGCTATAGAAAGTAGGAACCTTTCGATCAACTCAAATACTCTGCTAGGCAAAAGAGACTAACGGTAGAATTCCATAGAATTCCATATTAATCTCATGGAATCTGTAGAATTTAATTAAAATCCATAGAATCTACAATCCTTTAAAATCATTTAAAATCGGTGTTGGGGACACCCCCTTAAAACCGTAGCGTTTGTAGTTCAGGTACAGAACGGAGAGATAGCAAGATATAATGGTCAGAAGTGTCAAAAATGCTAAGAAGGCTAAGCGAAAGAGAAAGGTAAAAACCAACTTTATCGGATTTGAAATTATAGTTAATTTTATATGATAACATGATATTTTTGAGTATCAGGATGGGAAGAAAGGAGAAGCCGCATCTTCATCGAATTCGATGCCTTCCATGCCAGCTAAGGTGTGGCAACCCGGTGTAGACCAGTTAGACGAAGGAGAACAGCTTCAGTTCGATCCTTCTGCTTACAACACTCTACGTGGCTTTAACATTGGGTGGCCTTGCTTGAGGTCTTATTTTTTTCTCTTTGGTCTAACTATTTATCCAGACTGGAAAGTTCTTATTGTGTTGTTTTTGCTTCTCACCTATGGAATGGTCTATTGTCAAGGTCGAAATTAATTCACTGTGTATCTGAATCCAACAGCTGAGGTCTTTTACATTGTCTGAATTATAAGCCAGCTTCAAACCATACTCTAAAATTAATGGATTGGAGCTTGTTGACTTTAGGATGCAAGTAACTACATTCTATTTTACCAAATACAACCATTCTCACCTGGAAGTTGAAACTTCTGCATATGTCTAAGTAAATACTAAATAATAATTACCTGAGTACTCCTATTTTTACTTGCCTAAATAATTTTTCAGAGGGTACTAATAAAGGAAGAAAAGAAAAAGAAATGTAAGAGTTGTATGTATTTTAGTGAAACTTCCCCAAATTTCATTTAGTCCGGAGGCTGGCAGAAACAGCCTCTCTACTCATACGGGTTGGGGTTAGATTTGTGCCCGTCTCACCTTTCTCAGACTCTGCTTCCATGTGAGACAAACTGGGAATGTTTGGTTTGAAACTTTGAATTACCTCACATAATGGAGTTATCATTTCTTCTTCGGATTTGGCTGTCTTGTGTGTTATGTATTTGATTAAGCATCTAAATTTGTTTTACAATTGGCAGCTTTGATATTCTACATGACTCTCTAGGGTTGGTGCGGACAGAGTTCCCGCATACTGTGTACTCTGTGGCAGGAACTCAGGTGAGTTAAAGTTCATTTTATTTTTTCTTCACACATCTTTACACAATTAAATAATGAAGACATTTATACACAGTTATATGATATATGATTTTCAATTCATATACTTTCTTGAATTTAAGAGCAAAGGTGATGCTTAAATGTGACTGTTTTTATTTAGGGTCTGATTAACCAAAAGTTGTTTGTGAAGTGACACTATTTTCTGCGGATTACTTTTCAGGCTGAGAAAAGCTCATGGAACTATATTGGAATATTCAAGATATCTAATATATCTGGAAAGAGGCGTGAGTTAGTACCCAAATCTAAATCTGAGGATAACATGGAAAGTGATAGCAGTGATAGTAGTGACAGTGAAGAAGAAGACGAAGATGAATCTGCAAACCTTGTTTTTCAGGTTATTTCTTAACATGTAGTTTATACGATTTTAATTAATATAGATGTGTCTGCAGTTTCTAGTAACATTCACTTTTATTAATTCTACAGCTTCGTAAGGTGTCTCATGAAGGATGTGTTAATCGCATACGTGCCATGACACAGAACCCCCATATTTGTGCTTCATGGTCAGATAGCGGACATGTTCAGGTTAGAGTTACCATTTTATAGTTGTCCCGTGATGTGTGTAGTCATAGACCAGCCGTCTTTAGTTATGTACTTGTTGTAAACAATAACAGATGTGTAACTAGAGCATTATTACCTTATGCTTTCAATAGATTTGGGATCTTAGCTCTCATTTAAATGCAATGGCGGGATCACAAGGTGATATTATCCATGGGGCCTCTGAAGTTTCTAGTCAATCACCTTTAGTTAAGTATAGCGGACATAAAGATGAAGGCTATGCTATTGACTGGAGTCCTCTTGATCCTGGAAGGCTCGTATCAGGTAGTGCACAGCTTCATTTTCCTTTTTCGGCACACCATTATGCCTTTTGATTGGCTGTACAAGAATATTGAGGTTTATTTAACTTCTAAATTTCTAATCTATTAAGGGGATTGCAAGAATTCTATTCATCTATGGGAGCCAACTTCTGGAGCAACTTGGAATATTGATCAAAATCCTTTTATTGGACATATTGCAAGTGTTGAAGACCTGCAGGTACCTCTCTCTTTATAAGGCCTGCAAGATTTTGTTTGACATTTATCTGTTCTGCATAATTATATGTAAAATACTTTCACTTGTCCTTCCCATACAGTGGAGCCCCACAGAACCTTCTGTATTTGCCTCTTGTTCTGTGGATAAAAATATTGCAATATGGGATATACGTGTTGGAAAATCTCCTGCAGCATCGATAAAGGCACACAATGCAGATGTTAATGTTATTTCTTGGAACAGGTTCGTAAAACTTATTCTTTTCTACCATAGCATTTACAACTTTATTTACACTTCTACTCAATTTCTATTAGGTTGGCAAGCTGTATGCTGGCATCTGGAAGTGATGATGGGACATTTTCCATCCGAGATCTTAGATTGCTCAAGGTATGCCAAATTGGATCCTATTGACATTGGTAACCTTTCAAAAAAGGTTAGGGGTGGCTAGGAATCTATGTCTACCACTCATTTAATCCATTCATATTTAAACCCATTTGTCTAGTTTAGTTAAAGAACGACTAAAGATCCACTTTCCCCCTAAGTCTCTTGGATAACACTCGCATGCATGCACATGTATAAGTAAATGAGTAGATAACAGTTGGATTTACTGTAAATCTGACTTGCTTTGACAAGAGAATAATCAATTGTTACTCCAGTCCCCAAAATTAAAAACAAACTCAGTGCTCTTGGTTGCTCGGTGAAGTTATGGGTAGCTTTCTATTACAACGGTTTAGTTTTATGGTTGATTTTGTTTGTGGATTGGATTGGTATGTGTTTTTATAAACGGCTCATGGATAGATTGCATTTTTTTGATGAAATGATACATCATAAACAGATCAATGGCTTATATTCAATTTATTTGGAACTTAACAAATGTTCTATCTATGCCATGTAAATTTTGGGGTGTTTGGGCTCGCACCCCTCCGGCCATGTTCTATCTATGTGATAATAAGTACCAAGTGTACTAATTTGCTTTCTTTCATTTAGGAGTTGGCATCTATTTAATCAATAATTTTCACATCAAATGTTAACAAAAAAATGAATCATTAAATGTTCACGGAGGGTGTGATCTTGGTGCGACTAGCATGTTACACTATGGCTCACCATAGTAGCAATCAACCCTGGACCTTTTAATTGTGAAATATGTACTGTCCTTGATCTAATACTAGATACAAATGTTGTTTAATGCTGCACAGGAAGGAGATGCTGTAGTTGCCCACTTTGAGTATCATAAAAGCCCAATCACATCTATTGAATGGAGTCCACACGAAGCATCAACACTTGCAGTTACATCATCAGACAATCAATTGACGTATGACTCGCACACACTCACTTTTGTAACATCCGCTAGCAGATTCATTTTCTGTAATTTCCCTAACCACGGAATCACCTAGAAGATGATACCTAGGGGCTAGAGTTCAGAAGTCAAGTTTCACTAAAACTATTTAAGTCAACTATGAGGTATGAATCATTTTGACTGGTTTCCTCTTAACTAGTAAGGAGAAAAGGTGGCAGCGACTAGAATGAGTAGTGTGGTAGAAGTAAATGCAATAAAATCAATTCATCCAATTTTGGTAAGCGTCATGAAGAATATAACGTCAGGGCTTTAGTTTGTGCATGTCTATGTGGGCATAGATGTATGGGTTTATTATTTTTAATGTTTTTTCCGAAAGGAAAAGTTTTTCTGCCCAAAATTGTGGGTAAAACCAACCCACATCTTGTTAATCTATATAAACTTTGAACGCTCATAGGATGATACTCCGTATCTTTTTGCAACCACGAATTTTGTGGTGGGATGAACCTCGGAGAGAATCATTTCCAAAAAAAGTGAATATTTGAATGGTTTAAACTTTAAAGCTAAGATATTGAAGTGAACTCTCTCATGTTGACCTATCCCATAATGCCTCTTTTTTACTTCAAAATTTCCTCCAGAATATGGGACCTTTCTTTGGAAAGAGATGAGGAAGAAGAAGCAGAGTTCAAAGCAAAAACCAAGGAGGAGGTGAATGCCCCTGCTGATTTGCCACCACAACTTCTCTTTGTCCATCAGGTTATGCTATACCTTTTTCTCCCCTTGTGAATTATTATGACTGAAGAAGCGCATATAGTAGCTTCTCTTATGCTCACTACCGTGTCTATCTGTATTGTGTGTTTAACAGGGTCAGAATGATTTGAAGGAACTTCACTGGCATTCCCAAATTCCTGGAATGATCTTATCCACAGCTGCTGATGGTTTTAACATCTTAATGCCATCAAACATAGAAAACATGCTCCCTCCAGCCAAGGATGCTTAAGTTAAAATTCATTTGTTTTCTAAAGCTCAATTCTTGCTTCTTTGGTAGTGTTTATGTTTTTCGTGTCTAACAATTATCTTTGCTGCCAAATCTTTTGCATAAATATATTCGCGGGCTGTCAATTTTGTCCATTAGGTAGCTTCTAGTCGGCATTTGGAAAGGAAAACTACTAGTTTCTTTAGAGAGAGAAGTGTCACTTTGTAATCAATTTGTCTGAACAATTTGATTTATTTGTCTAGATATAATTGCAATGTTTGGATCTCGAGAATCTCATGAGTTGGTGACTTGGTGTCAAACAGATCAGACCTAAATGGACATGAAAACTTGTTTTTATTACCCTGAAATATGGGTGGACTCGGTCCAGGTACCAGTTGGGACCGGGATTGCCCGGTTTTTGAACTGGGACCAAGATTGAGAAATATGATTCCAGTTTGAGCCCGAGACCCGACCAGTGGGAAATCAGTTAAGGTCCTAGTCCTCCATTTTTTTAGTTTGGGATCGGATTGGTTCCGTCCTTTTGCTATGAAACAATGGGAAAGGATTTCACAAGGGTTGAAGGCCCATTTAAAAGTTTAAAAGAAGTGTAGATGGGATGGAGAGGGCCATAAAGGGTTTAAAATCATATTAACAAAATAAAAAGTCCAGACCAGACGGGAACTAGGCATGGACTGGGCCGGTTTGGGCTGGTCCGGCCTGGCTGATCGGGACCGGGGCCCTGAATCGGGGGTATTAGGGACGAGCTTTGGGTTGCTGAAAAGGTGGATCGGGACCGGGACCGGAGCCTTTTTTTTTTTTACATTTTAAGGGCCGTTAGGTGAGTGGTTGGGGAGTTTGGGGATGGGGGTAGGGGGTAAGGGTATGAATAAATTAGGAAAAACAATTTTTTTTAAAAAAATTTGACCCAGGCCAGTACCGGGCTTGCAACCCAAATACCTAGGCCCGCCCAATCTTGAACCGGGTCTTGGCCTGGTCCCAGTCCAACCCTAACGGGAACTAGGGGTGGACCGGTTCCGGTTAGGGCCTGGGCCCGGGCGGGCCTCGGTTCAAGAAGGGGAAGCCCAGAACCGGCCCGGGTAACCTCCGGGTCCGGGTCGGGCCGGGTCTCGGTTCTATTTTTTTTTGGCTTTTCCTAGTTAACCCCCAACCCTCCCCCTCACCCCCAAATCAACCCTAACCACCTCAAATGGCCCAAAATACCCAGCCCAACCCAAACACTTAAAAAAATTACAAAAAAAAAAAAAAAAAAAAAAAAAAAAAAATTGGCCCGACCCGGGCTTGAACCGGCCGGCCCGAGCTCGAACCGGCCGGGCCGGTTCACCTTTTGGAGGGCCCGAGCCCGAACCGCCATCCCACCGGGCCTAGAACCGGTTCATCGGTTCGGGCCGGGACCGCACAGTAGCGGGCCGGTCCGGTTTCGGGTCGGTTGGCCCGGCCCGAGTCCACCCCTAACGGGAACGAAAACCGAATGGAGACCAGTTGGGTCTTGAAATAGAGGTCCTGGTCTTGTGCCTCTATTTATTTTTCCAAAGTCTGGCCAGTCTGAGACTAGAACGGGACCAGTACCGGGTCCACACCTACCCTAAAATGTATTTTTTTTCTTTGTCACCCATTTTTATTTTACATTTTAAATATAAATTAAAAACGATGCTTTGCAATATTCTTGTAAAAATCTATGGGGAGGGAATTATGCCACATTGGGCTTGATTGTTTTTCTCCTAAGCATTAATATTACAAAAATGCTATGGGTACCTCATTTTTGTACTCCATTTGCACCCCATATAAAAACACTCCACAATTTTACCATCTTTTATTCTTTTACCCCCTCCAAACATCTCTCCCACATCTAGGAATGGACTGGGACAAGTCGACCCAACTCGGTGCTGTGCAGGCCCGACCCGGCCCGCTGGGCGGTATCGGGATTGGGGCCTTGAACCGGGTGTAAATTAAAATGGGTGGCTCCGGGATGCTGAAATGGTGGACCGGCCCGACTGGTCCGGGCTCCAACGACTCTTTAAAAAAACATTTGTTGGGAATATTTTATGGTGTCCAATCTAATTAAATATCTTTGTATTTGTGTAGTTATTAATTAAATGTGTAATATGAGCCACAAATATATATCTGCCCATTATCTCTCTTGTAAGCCTTAAGTTAGACATCCTTATGTATAAAAGGATGCTAACATAAGAAACCCTAACTCTCACAAGCTTTTAACGCACATATTATTCTAGAGAGACTGAGAGCCGCAACTTTGTATTTCGATACTCTATTCTGTATTTCTAAATCTTTCTTTGTATAGAATCAAAGCTTTGTATGATTGTTGGATGATATTGGGACAATTATTTGGTATCAGAGCAGAGTGTGAAATCGTTTGCATTTTTCTGCATTTTTCGAACCTGCCATTGACGGTGAAGAAGGTTTTTCGAAAAACTAATTTTTTGGTATTTCTTGGCTGGATCGACCTGGTTTGAACACTATTGTGCGTTTGTTGAACGTTTTCGATCAACTTTTGAGAAAAAACAAGGTTGAAATTTCGTTTCTAGAACTTTGAAGATTTCGATATTTTAAGGTTTTTCACAGATTCTGCAAAGAAGACAACAATCTCGACATTTGCGATCTCGACATTTGCGATTTCGACATTTACGATTTCGAAATTTGCGATTTCAACATTTGCGATTTCGACATTTGCGATTTCGACATTTGCAATTTCGACATTTGCAATCTTGACATTTGCAATATCGACATTTGCAATTTGATCTTTGCAATTTCGACATTTGCAATCTCGAGAAAAAAGGTTTTTGAAGTTTAAGCCAAAAAAAACAATAAAAAAAAAGAATGAGGGCAAAAACCACTGAGCTTTGTCAAGTGCAAAGTAGGTGAAAAATAAGAATAATAAAAAATGTGTGGTTTAGATTTGTGCAGAAAAGAGAGAAATATGCATAACCACAAATTATAATGAGAGATTTGTGAGATTTGCGACAAGTGCAAAGTTTTTTGGAACAATGAGACGGAGGGAGTATAAAAGTAGTCTTATACTCATGTAAAATCTTGTCTACACTACTGTGTAACTGAAACCTAAAACCCTAGTATCCAAGCTGAAAGTCCTAAACTCTCAGAACGGTGAGAATCGTCGTCTCTTAGTCTTCAACGGCAGAAGCACAATCCGACCAACTTCACTTGCCGGCTAACCGCCAAGAGGCTAAAACCGTAGCGTTTGTAGTTCAGGTACAGAACGGAGAGATAACAAGATATAATGGTCAAAAGTGTCAAAAATGCTAAGAAGGCTAAGCGAAAGAGAAAGGTACAAACCAACTTTTATCGGATTTGAAACTATAGAGTTCGTTTTTTTTTATTGTTTTTTTGCTTAGACTTCGAAAACCTTCTTTCTCGAGATTGCAAATGTCGAAATTGCAAAGATCAATTTGCAAATGTCGAGATTGCATATGTCGAGATTGCAAATGTCGAGATTGCAAATGTCGAAATTGCAAATGTCGAAATTGCAAATGTCGAAATCGCAAATGTCGAAATCGCAAAAGTCTAAATCGCAAATGTCAAGATCGTAAATGTCGAAATCGCAAATGTCGAGATCGCAAATGTCGAGATTGTTGTCTTCTTCACAGAACCTGTGAAAAACCTTAAAATATCAAAATCTTCAAAGTTCTAAAAACGAAATTTCAACCTTGTTTTTCTCAAAAGTTGATCGAAAACATCCGGCAAACGTTGAAAAGTGTTCAAACCAGGTCGATCCAGCCAAGAAATACCAGAAAATTAGTTTTTCGAAAAACCTTCTTCACCGTCAATGACATGTTCGAAAAATGCAGAAAAAATTCAATCGATTTCACGCTCTGATACCAAATGATTGTCCCAATATCATCCAACAATCATACAAAGCTTTGATTCAATACAAAGAAAGATTTAGAAATACAGAATAGGGTATCGAAATACAAAGTTGCGGCTCTCGTCTCTCTAGAATAATATGTGTGTTAAAAGCTTGTGAGAGTTAGGGTTTTCTTAAGTTAGCATCCTTTTATACATAAGGATGTCTAACTTAAGACTTACAAGAGAGATAATGGGTTGATATACATTTGTGACCTATATTACACATTCAATTAATAACTACACACCATAAAAAGATATTTAATTAGATCAGACACCATAAAATATTCCCAACATTTTCTTTAAAAAGAGTCGTTGGAGCCCGGACCAGTCGGGCCGGTCCACCATTTCAGCATCCCGGAGCCGCCCATTTTAATTTACACCCAGTTCAAGGACCCAGTCCCGGTACCGCTCAGCGGGCCGGGTCGGGCCTGCACAACACCGAGTTGGGTCGACTTGTCCCAGTCCATTCCTAGATGTGGGAGAGATGTTTGGAGGTGGTAAAAGATGGTAAAAATGTGGAGGGTTTTTATATGGGGTGCAAATGGAGTACAAAAATGAGGTACCCATAGCATTTTTGTAAGGCTAAAGGGTCAAATAGGTCCCTGTACTCATATCAATAGCTCAATTGGGTACCCGAACTAAAAAAACGTCCAATCCAATCCTCCAACTCTTCATAATCGTTCAATTTTTTCGTTTAGCCGGTAAACTCCCGGTTGCCTCTCCTAGTAATCCGTTTAATGCTGAGTCAACATAAAAAAAGAGTTTATTTAATTTAAATATTTTGCTGACTCACCCTTATCCTTCTATATCACACCCAAAACCTAATTTATTAACCCACCCTTCCAGTCGTTCTTAAACCTGCGTGCTCCGACCTGGGAAGACGAAGGTAAGAAAAGTTGCGTAACTCCTAATGTCTGAATCAGCGATGTCATCGGCAGGCAAGAAAAGTTGGCCGCATGAACCCTCGGTTAATTGCACTTGTGGTTTGAGAGCTCGGTTGTGTACCGCACGAGAGAGCGGGTGACAATTTTACGGATGCAAAAAATGGAAGGTAAGATAGTTCTACTAATTTGTTGAATTTCATTAATTAAAATGTTTGATTTTTGGAATTATGATTATGTGTTTTCCTATTTTAGGATGGGTTGGGTTGTGGGTACTTCCTTTGGAAGGAAGACCTTGTATGCTCAAGAAATGACAAAGATAATGATGCAGTCACACAACTTGATTCTGCAGAAACCAAAGCAACGACAGTTGAGGACTTGAAGGCCCTGCCGTTAGCACAACAGAGTGATATTACTGTGATAAAGAATATCCTCCACAGGGAAGCTAAAGAGAAGAAAATCTGGAAAAAAATGTGTCTACTTTTTGTAATAGTTTTTGTGGCTGCTTTCATGGGAAGGGAAGTATAAGCTTTGGTATGAATTGCAGTGTTGTTTAGTTGATGGTAGTGGTTGCTATGTACTGGTGTAGAATTTTGATGCACTCTCAAGTGTATTGATATTGTTTTGGAAGTGTAGTATTTTGTTTACTTTATTTACTTTGGTTATGCACTCTAAATTATTGGTCTGAATTGGATTTAAAGTTAAATTATTTGGTTTTCTTTGAGTTCGGTTTTACAGTTTATGCATCTGGTATTGATCAGATAGGGGGTTGTATGAAACTACTTCAATCTTCTTCTTAGACTGGACTTCCCCTTCATTGAGTGACTCTGTTTCAGAAGTATAGGTAGCTGGGCTGTCTGAACAATATAAAACATCTGTATCATGAATTTCAACATCCTCTTAAGGTGCACTTTCAATTCTAATTTTCTTGGACTGTCCCCGCACCACATGTTCTTCATGACATGATTGCATTTCCACATTGCATAAGTGGTTCGTCCCAACCCCAGACTCATCATTGTCACTCCCATCAAATTCATCAGAGTCATTCCCATCAACATTTTCTACATCTTCATCAACATGTAAGGATCCAATATCATCATCTAGATCAGGTTCATCACTCATGTATGTGTCATCCCTTTCATCAACAAACCCAACTGTTTCCATTGTATCCATATTATGTGTGTCAGCACCAACACCATCCCCATGATCTACATAAAGGTCACACTTTTCTACACTAGAACACAAACTGACCAACTCCAAAGTGCTTGCATCATCCACTAATTTCCTTAATGCTTCTAATGGTTCATATGGCAGTTTAAAAAGCATTTCTTTTACACATCCAAATGGCCCAGATTCAAGATATTTCTTCAAATGAGGATAAGAAATGACATCTGGGTCACTCTTAATAACCTCAATACTCTCAATCACATACCTCGTTGGTCTGCCCCTTTCAAAACTTCCACCATAGTGTACAATTAAATCCAAAGTCTCCCACATTCTGAAAAATATAACATTTTTAAACAAATAACCAACACATATACAAAACAAACATACACACCAGATATATAACACATATACATACAGTTCACAACCTCAATGTCAAGAAATCACACAATTAGGGTATCTATTTTTTCAAAATTTCTCCTCCATTCTTTAATTAGGGTATCTTGAACAATTCACTTAAATACAGATAATCATTTACAATTTTTACAAACGATAGACTTTTATTGGTACCTTGTGTTTATCGTCGCTCGTCCTTCAGCGTTCTTTCTTCCCTCTTCGCCCTTCGCTCGTTGTCCTCGTTATTCGTCACTGTTCATCGTCGCATTTTCCCTCTTCCCTCTTTCTTCCAGATTTTTCGTTTTGTCAAGACAAGCATTCCGTCCACGTCGTAATGTATTTGCATAAGTCAAGATAACACTTGG